TGGTCTCCTGCATCCAGAACAATGGCAAAAAGGGGGCTCTCTCCAGGCTCTGGGGCACTGGTGTGCTTGTGCATGTGGCTGCCTATGCCTGCTGTTCTCCAGTCACAGTCTAACACAGAGCAGCTCTTAGACCACATATGCAGCATCAGGGAAGCACTATCGACGGCAGGCAACTCCATGCCTGGCACAAACAGGTGGATTAACATGCTAGCCACACACAGTCCAGCAGCTGCCCAGTGACGCTGGAATTCTAAGGGAAGCTCCTCCTGCCAGAGCCCATGGGGGCCCTGCTCTGCTGAGGTTGTCCTGGCACCTGTGATATGCACATGCTTGTAAACACAGCTCCACGTGGCAGGCTCAAAGCCATTTTTTTCCATGGAATTCCTCCCAGTCACCTCGCACCCTATGGCTGCCCTGACTCACTATCAAACGCCAAGTTCATCCTCAGCCTGGGCCCTCCATGTGTCATTTGGGTCTATGAGGCTGTGTTTCTGAAGGCCAACTGCTTGTCTTTGTCATCAGAGATGAGTAGTTCACATCTACCCCCTTGAGACTCAGCCCCATGGAGCTCACTCCCCATCACATACTATGCCACATGCCATTTTGGGTTCCTGTTGTTCCAGGACAAGACAGGGAAACTGTCTGCATACAGTTGCACTAAGCCCATGAGGGACGCAGCCTTGACAGATGATCTTTCTAGATCAGTGAGGCCTAAATGCAGTGCTCAGTCAGACCAAATCTGCCTGACATTATGTAGGACCCTCAGAAGGCCCTTCAACATAGGAACCATGATTGCTCCCCAGGGTTGCTCCTCTCAACCCTTTGGAGCAATTCAGACATCAGCCCAGCACAGCAGTCAGGAGGCCTAGGAACATTTTAGAAAAAGACACATTTCAGGCCCAAGAGGCCCCTCACATTGATAAGGGAAACAAAAAACATGGCTGGGAAGACTCAGACCTAGGACACACAGGTGCCTCATCACCCCACCAAGGCCACACCAGGAAGGGTGACCCCCAGCTACTTACTAGGCAATCTGACTATGGGAGAAGACAATGCCCAATACCACATGACCTGCTGAGGAAGGACCTGCCCTAACCATCATGTGCACACATACATGCTTACACATGTGCACACGGGTTAGGCAAGATGGGTGCTGACACCTGTATCACCAACTCCTAAGGGAAGGACCAGTCACTTGGAGCCAGTTGGGAAGGGGCAGGACGCAGCCCACAGCCAGGTGGGTTCTCGGCAGCGACGTGCTCCGTGAGATCTTTTGTCTCCTCTGGTTGTTTTGTACAGCTTTGTCTTGTAACGCTGAACCCAGAGCCCCAAGACAAGCATCCTAAATTCCTGTAGCACCATCTCTGGTTTGAAAAGGAGAATTCGGTACACAGAATGCTTTCCCCCTTACCCCTATCCCACACACAATAGATGCTGCTCTCTCTCTGATCCTCAACCTCACTTGTGACTCACTCCTGACAAGATGGTGCTTGGATCTATGCTTGTCTGCCCCTGCTGGGAGCTCCTCTAGTGCCAACACAAGACATCCATTCCTAAAAATCCCAAGATGGGACTGTCACTTCCTTCCCTTGCCCAGCAGGACAGGTCCTGAAGTCCCATGCTCAGTCTGCCTCTATCCCAACAGTGACCACCAAGGCCAGCTGGGCAAATTATCACTTCACCATGCCTTTAGTAGCAGCTCTGAGGGCAGCACTGACCAGTGTCCATGGTCCAGCCTACACCCAACTCCCTGACAGGACAAAGGTAACTTCAGGATCACCTTGGTCAATGTGTCAGGGGACAAGGTCACCTCTATAGAGAGAGGCAAGAAGTTCCCAGGGGACTGACATGAAGTCAGCCATGAGCATGAAATCATGTGGATAGAGTCTGAAAGGGGATCGGCAACCAGATGGGAAGGAAGCCAGCATAGAGAAGCCAGCTTTGACCCGGGGTTAAGTGGGCCAGCCAGGCAGTCATCCCCTACAGAAAACTCAGCAAGGGCCCATTCTGGAAACTCCTTCTAGACTGGACACCCAGACACCTCCCTCCATGGTCTCCCACAGGGTTCTGAGGCCTACAGATGCCCATTCTGAGAAAGTTAAGTCTGGTCTCCCCAACCCTCAAGCAGTGTCCTCTCCACTCCTACACTCTGAAAACATTCCCACAGAACACTAAGAATTCACACATCCTTTCCACTTCGAGAGGAATCTCATAATAAATAAAACTCAGGTCCAATGTTCTGTCCTACAGAAGGACTGAGGGGACTGGCATCTGCCCTGGGACATGATCCCAAGTGTTTCCAGAACAACTAGAAAGGGAAGGGCCCATGAGTGGGTGGGAACCAGTAGTTGAAAAACTGAGTTGAGTCTCCCACTTGCCACATCTGCCTTCCCCACGCCACATCAATTTTGACTCATTTTGGGGGTGGTGGGGAACAGACTTTTCCCAGGGGCCAAGGGCTCCATAAGCAGACACTATGTAAAGTGCCAGCACAGGCCCTGCCCAGGTCACACAGCAGCAGGGGAGGTCAAGGTTAAGATTCATCCTGCTCTATGGTCCAGGAAAGGTCCACTTCCTACCTTCACACTAGGAGGCCCAGAAAGGGCCCAGCCAGCCCTGGTTCACAGGTTTAGGAGGCACCTAGGCAGGCTGGACAGGCTTATGGGCTCTCATTCTGGTCCTGAAGCCCCCTGCTTTCTAAGTTGGGAGGCCCAGGAGGGCCCAGTTCCACTACTATCTGGATCTGTCTCGGTGCATCTGAGGAGGTCTCCTAAGCTTACTGCACCACCACCAACACCCAGAAGTCCTGTCCAGAAACAAATGCTTCCAGGGCTGTCAAGGAGCCTACACAGGAGGCAGGACTGGCCTGCAGTGTTATAATGCCTATGATCTGGCCAGTACTGGCTCCACATCAGAAAGCCTTCTTCCTGCCTGTGCAGGTCTTTCCCATCAAAATTCAACTGTGATACCCCTTCTTTACCAATGGCAGGGGTCTGATACCTTCTTCACCAATGGCAGGAAGCCTGTTAGGAATCAGGACAAAACCCAGCAGACTCAAGATTATAGCACATTCACCCCTCTCAAGGCACAATGGCTGGAGTTCCTGAAAAATCTCTTTGCAGAAATACTAAGTTTGTAGAGCACAGCTCGACAAAGTCTCAGTTACAAGTTCTATGTAAGCTTGGCTAAGTTGCACAAGTTCAGCTTAGACCATAAAAGGAACATTAAAACGGTGTACGCAGAGCTGGAAACATGTCTCAGTAGAGCATTGGTCTAACATGCATGAAGCCCCAGGTTTGAAACCTATCAGCACCACATTTTTCTAAAAAGTAGGTGTGGCAACACATTCCTGTTCATCTAGGCAGCTGGGATTTAGAGGGTCAGTTCAAGGTCATCCTTAACTATATATCCTGTCTGAGGCCAGCCTGAGCTACATGAGATGATCCTGTCTAAAAAAAGCAATTCATAAAAGGGCACCCTTGCCCTCCTGTTGGTCTGAGTGTGTGCAAGCAGCAAGACCCCTACCTTCCTTAAAGCTGAGTTTTCAGGCACAACTTCAGGGCCCATTAACTGGATGTCTGGAGATGAGGAAGTAGCTGCCTCAGGCCACTGGGCACCCAGGAAGGGCTGCTGGGGCTCCACATTCTGGGGGGGGGGGGTCACTGCAATGCTGCCCAGCCACCAGACATCACTGACTGCTGCAAATTAAATATGAGCTTCTGGAGTCTGTCTCTACTCTTCACCTGGTTTTGTGTCCGGCCAGGGGGCAGCCATAGCATGCCCTGTGCAGAGGAAGCCTGGACAGCCCAGCATCACATGGGAAGGATCGCTGAGGTGGACTGAAAGGCTGCTGACCTGGGCTAGGCCACTTCCTGACCAGAGCTCCTAGCCTGTGTCTGCAGGCTCCCAAAGTGATCAGAGGAAGCACAGCCTTCCTGCCTGCTGAGTGGGCAGCAAAAGCTCTCAGGCCATAAGTAAGACCTGTCTCTTAAAGACTGTCCCTCTTTCCTTCCAGACCCAGAGCCTGAAGCCTGATCCTCCAGTGTGAGACCCAGCAGGGAATGTGCGAGGCCAGCTGCGGCGATGGGGCTGTGCTGGGTCCCCTCACCTCAAAAACCCCAAAGAGGAGGGCCTGGTAACATCTAGGTCTACAGGAGAGCTGAAACAGAGGGAGCAGCCAGTTCAAAGTGATTTGCCATCAGCAGCAGGTTAGGTGAGTCTTGGAGGTGGGATGGAGTTTCCCAGGCCCCTTCCCCAACCCTGCAAAAAGTGAAAGAGCCGCTCCGGATGCCGGGAACAAAGAAGCAGCAAAGACAAGCCCGCGCGTTTTGCGAGGGCAGCAACCTCCCCAGCTTCACAAGGGCTGCTGTCCTTCCTCTATGACCCCAAGGGAGGCTTGGCAGGTCCATGTCAGTGGCGGATGATCTGGGATCCGTCAAACTTTGACTACCTCCCCGGGCAGGCCTGGAGCAAGAAAAGGCTGGAAGGAAGACGCCGCGAGGCCGCCCACCCGGGGGTCTGCGCCCCGCACTCTCCCAGGTGCCACCCAGGACTTAGGCCTTCTCGTCTCCATAGCTACCTCCAGCAGCTCTGCAACTCCTCCCTAGTCCCGTCAGAGTTGAAAGGCAAGTCGCTTCCGGTGCTCCAGCCTGAGTGCCCCAGACCCGCCATGCAAAGCCCGGGAGCCCGCGCCCCCAGCGCTGCGGAGCCAGGCCGCCCCGGAAACTTATGTGGGACCCTGGGCTCCGCGTGCAGCGGGAGGGAGGGGCAGGGGCGGAAACCCGTGGGACACACAGAACAGGGCCTGCTATCCACCCGCCCGCGGGTCCCTGCCGGGCCTGGGTCACCCTCCCAGCCAGGCCGCCTCCGGCTGGCCCCGGGAACCCGAACCCACCGCCCGACCGCGCGCCCCGGCCGCCGCCCACCAGGGAGCTGGAACGGGCCGGCGGAGGGAGGGCGGGCCTCCGCCTTTGTCCGGCGGCAGGTGCGGCCACGCTCACCCGGGCTGGGGCAGGCAGGCTCGGCGCCCTCGGTGGACCCCGGCTGCTCCTCCGCGCGCTCGGCCGTCTCGTCCCCGGCGCCGTCGGCGCGCGCCTCCACCGGCACCACGGTGAAGTTCGTGGGCATGGCTCCGCTCGGCCGTGCGCTTCGCTGAGCGCTCCGGGAGCCGCCGCTAAGCTGCCGCTCGAGTCCGGCGTAGGGGCGGGGTCGGCCCGCCCCGCCCCGCCGGCCACGTGACCTCACCTGCCCGCCCCCACGGCCTCGGAAAAGTTTGCCTGCGGCGGGGAGGGGCGGCTTCCCGGAGGGTCCCGCCCCCTCAGGGCACCGCCTCGGAAGGGCCGGGCCTGGATGGTCCCGCCCCTGCAGACCACGGACCCGGGATACCCGGCCAGAATCCGGAACCCTCGGGACTCCGCATCCCCAAACCTGTCCCCGGAGGCCACCGCTGCGCGCAGAACCGTCAGCGGCAGATCTCAGCCCCCGAGGTCCGGCCGCCAGCACCGCGTCCTCTCCTAGCACCTGCTCGCAGCTCAGGCTCCCTGCGCTCCCCGCCCTTCAGGCTCCGCTCTAGCGGTTCCCCAACTCTCGCCTAACTCTTCTCTCCGCCCAACCCGGCAGATCGCGCCCTTCTCCACACAGTCTGCAGCTCTCCATCCCTGTTCCCCCAGCCCAGACGATCGCTCGTGAGCTGACCCTGGACCAGGTCAGGCTGCTACCTTGGCCCAGTGAAAGATCCTTGGTTAGTCCGGAGGAGGTGTCCGTTGAGGCTTGGTGCATCCTGAGGTTAAGAAGCCCCACCCAAAGCGGTCACCCAGCCTCTGGGACAGGCTCTGCCGCCAAGCCTCAGGTCATTGGAACCTACTGGCTGCAGTGCCCCAACTTGGAGAAACCTTCCTCCCCAACTTTGGAGGACTACTTCCTTCCTTAGGCCTGGCCCCACAAAAGGGAAATTCCCAGGGTAGTGACCGGAAGCTCACAGCAAGGAGTTCCAGGGTCCCAGCATAGAGGAAGCCGTAGAACCTCCTACCGAAACCTGGTACATTCTCAAAGAAAAACTCGTGAAAAGCTGGTAACAACCAAACACTCATAAGGGGAGCATTGGACTAAATGTTATGGTCAGGATGGGGGTTTGTAGCTCAGTGGGTAGGCTTGCCTACAAATCTGAGGCCCTGGTTTCATCCTCTCATGGCCCCGGGTACAATGAATTACCCCAAACCGTTTTAGATAAAAACAAAAACACAGGTGGTACAGCCAGAGCTGCTCACAACTCGCAGAATGGTGCGAGCCAGGATGGCCCAGCTGTGTCTAACCAGGCACAGGTCTGGAAGGCACCTGCCAGCCACTGATGACGTAAGCTGGGCTGCAGGGCTGGCTCTTCGTGCCCTCCGGTTGACAATAACACAATTTGAAACCAAATCAGAAAAGCCATTTCCATGAAGGGCCGGGAGCGGCTATGGTGGCCCTCCGTCTGCCCGTTGCCAGGAAGCTTTTCTCAGGAACTGGAATCAAGGAAGTTCCCTTAGGTTACTACTGTCAGCCCTCGCAGGGTACGGGTAGGAAACAACTGGCCCCACCCCCACCCCACCTTCCTCCTGGAGCCATCCCCGACCAGTGGGCGGGGCTTTCACCTGCCTCCCCAGATCAGCTAGACTTAGGTGTGAATTCTGAATAACTCCTCAGAACATCCTTGGGGGGGATGTTGCTGAAAGATAGGGGGCACTGCTGGGAAAGGGACAGAAGGGTCCAATGGGTCAAGATCAGCCCCCTGAGGGCAGGGGGGAGCCCTCAATCATACAAAGAAGGCTTCAGGGAATTCAGCACTGAAACTCCAATGTGGTTGTTCTGGCTCATCCCCAAAGTGAGCACAAATTGGTCTCCAGGAAGGATTAGAGGCCCTTTGGAGTAAGTGGACCAGGGTGCAAGGTCCAGGTAAGGGTGGGTCAAGAACTCTGCCAGCCCCGGGAACCCTCTGGGACCCTCTCAACCTCAGCTTCCCACAAGTGACCCTTTCCAGGCAGGCAGCTATTTCATACTTGTCTTCACCTCTCTCTCTCTCTCTCTCTCTCTCTCT